TTAATTAGCTTCTTAATTAAGTACCCCACCACCCACCGCTCACCTACCACACCCACCTACCGCTCACCTACCATATCCCACCTACCGCTCACCTACCTCCCACCTACCGCTCTCATGGTTCTATAAATAGTCTCTTTTGATTTAAAGGAAATGCAAGCCAAGTAAGCCAAACAAGGCCAAGCCAAGTCAGCTTGAGAGCTAAGAGAAAGAGAGGAAGAGAGAGAGAGAGAGAGGAAGGGAGAGAAAAAAATATAAATTTTATTGTAAACGTCGAGGGGTTCGACGGTGTAATTCCTCGAAGTAGTAAAATCCTATGCAGCTTCGTGGACGTAGGCAAATTTGCCGAACGACGTAAATCTGTGTGTCACTCTGGTATTTTTTTCTCTGTGTGCAATTTTACTCGTTCCATTTTTCATTTTATTGTAGTTGTTTTTTTCACAACAACTAGTATCAGAGCTTGTGTTCGCATTTAAAGAAGAATGATGGGCGGAGACGAAATGATGACACCGGGGATCGAGAAGTTCAATGACACAGATTTTACTTACTGGATGATGCAGATAGAAGACAACCTTTATGAGAAGAAACTTCATCTTCCATTACTGGGAAAACGACCAGAAAAGATGGACAAAGCGGAATGCAATCTGTTGGATCGACAGGTTCTGGGGGTTATACGATTAACCCTGTTGAGATCGGTTGCCCACAATGTCATCAAGGAGAGGACTACTGCAGATCTCATAACGGCTTTATCAAGTATGTATGAAAAACCATCGGCGAATAATAATGTGCACTTCATGAAAATGTTACCCAACTTGACGATGACGGAAGTGAAGACGTCTCTGTTGCTCAACACCTGAATGATTTCAATACTATCACAAATCAATTGTCGTCTGTTAAAATTGATTTTGATGATGAGATACGTGCACTTATATTGTTGGCTTCATTGCCAAATAACTGGGAAGCCATGAGAATGACAGTTAATAGTTCTGCAAGTAAATCTAAGCTGAAATATGATGATATTCGTGATTTTATTTTAACTGAAGAGGTGCGTAGGAAGGATTCTGACGAGGCCTCGTGTTCAAGTTCGACGCTGAATGTTGATTCCAGAAGGAGATCACATGATAGGAACTCAAACAGAGGAATACCAAAATCAAAGTCTGGTCAACAAACAACCTGTTGAAATTATGGCAAGGCTGACCACATAAAAAGAAATTGTATGAATCCTAAGAAGAAGAAGATTGATGACGCTAATGTTGTAACTGAAGAAATACATGATGCACTATTTCTGATAGTTTACAGTTCTGTTGATGACTGAATACTGGATTCAGGGGCTTCCTTCCATACATCTTCCCGTCGGGAGTTAATGCAAAATTATGTTGCAGGTAACTTTGGGAAGGTACATCTGGCTGATGGAAAAGCTTTAGACGTGGTGGGGATGGGAGACATTGATATTGGACTCCCTAATAATAACAAATGGACTTTGCAAAAGGTCAGACACGTTCCTGAGTTGAAGAAAAATCTCATCTCTGTCGGGCAACTCAATGAGGGTGGTCATTCAGTGGTGTTCTCAGATAGCACGTGGAGGATTACCAAAGAAGCATTAGTAATGGCTCGGGGTAAGAAAACTGACACACTATATATGACTATAGGTTTACTCAGGCGTGGACACATGAGTCAGAGGTGCATTATGGGGAAGCAGAAGAAAGTCCAATTTCACATTTTCTAATCCCTGAGAACTGCTGCTTGAGAATCAACAATATCGGCCCAACTAGTACAAGATTTCACATTTCCAGACTGAACCCATGTTTTAAGAACAGAACTTGAACTCCATTGCTTCCCAGCCACAGCCCCAACTTTATTCTTCTTTTTCCCAATTATTTCCCATTCATCATTCTCTATAGGATATGTGGTCAAATTTCCAATTTCATTAGTAAATTGTTCAAGTGTAGGATAGCTGCTAACACAACCGGATGCTTCATAGTAGTTTGCTTTCTTACAATAAGTACCAGCAGCTGAAGGAGATTTGCAACCAACCTTCTTTGAATTCATTCTTTCACCCGAAAATCAAATCGCCGTTCCCGACTGCTGCCGTAAAGTTCCTAAGTCGACGACAATGGGCCGGGGCTGCCACCGGAGGCTTACAGACAAAGTCTCCAATTATTGAACCTTTGCAATCAAAATGATGCCGACATACATTCAACATACCAATATATAATCTCCCACATGATTCCATCAAAATAATCACAAATTTTGGATAGAATTATAACTAAATCTCTTTACAAAGTTCGAACTTTGAGAAGGAAAACAAAAAATAACGTGTAAACAATCAAATAATTTACTAACAAACTCATATCTCTAGACAACAACATTTACATATGCTACAATAATACATGAAACTAAAAAGTTGTCTATCACAAACAACAATTTCCACATAATCTTTAAAAGCGCAACATTCTTCATATCTTCTTCAACATATCCTTCTTCTTAAGGTTGTTGATTATCTCCCCTGTAATTATAAAATATTCATAACAAATCAAATAAAACAATTATATAAAGCAGGTAAACAATAAAAATTATATTACAAGTTACACTAAGTGTTAACATATAAGAAATAGCATACGAGCAGAATACTTGGAGAAATTATGCTATTCCGTTTCACTATACAATGTCATAGCTTCTTTCATGACTTCCACTTGAGAAAAAAATTGTTCCATTTTTGTTTTTGCTGGAAGGATGAGTGCAGATGTAATCCCAGAGATCAAAATCATTAATAACCTGCAGATAGGCATGACCAGCAAGATCACAACACATTTAGTACCAAGTCCTTCAAAGGCCTTACTGATAAGTTTCCTAAAAGCGTGCACTTCTCAGGACACATTAGATGTACCAATAAATTAAGCACACTTTAAGTGAATTAAAGTAAAATTAATTCAATAAATCATCTCTCTATAATAGAAACATAAAATGTTTTTATTATTTCAATTTTCAATGCAAACTTAGAATAACATTTAAGAATTTGTAACTAGTACCTATTAATTAGCAAAATCCCTGCCATTAAAGGTATAATATGAGATATTACTTACTGTTGATTTTTAATTAGTTAAGCTCCTAATTGATGGGCTTGTGCAATTGAAGATGCAGCCACAACAGCAGCCACACGTATCCTGCAGTTAAAAACATTAAACTTACAACACATTTCCAATTCAAATTATTTACCATTTGTGATGAATGAAACATAAGACAAGAGAGAGAGAGAGAAAAAAAAATTGCAATCACCTTTTGTGAACATCAGCATATTCATTAGTTTCATCAACAATCTCATCCTACACAACAAATACATCTGTGATCAACATAATAACAATAAATAACTCACATTAAATATAGATTCTTCTCCAAGGAAACCATGCCAAACACAAGCAAGAATGCGACAAAACCACGAATATTCCAAGTATTGACAATCTGAATATAGTCGAACAAATTGCAATACTCATTTAAGTAAGGCAAGGTCACAAAAAATATCGAACAAGTGCTAACATACAAGCTAGAATCATACCAACTCATGACAGTTTGAATGATGTTTGAATGATTATGGTTTAATAAATGATTATGGTTTAATAAGGGCAATTGCTAGAATCAATAAAAAAAATGATGGAAATGCATCATAGACTTACCAAACGACTCATAAGTATTGAAACATTAAAAGAAATGAGCTGCATGTACCTGAAGGAGTTCTTCAAACACATCCTCAAGAGTGATGATGTCGATAACCTCTCCATCTTCAATATCCTCTGATGTAAGACCCAAAGTGGGGTTGTTACCATTAGCTTATTTCTCTGGACCCTTATCTATGTCCACCATAAAAGTGTCATCCACTTTTGATAGTAAAGAAGTTGTCAACTTCGATTCGTCAGAAGCTTTTTTATTTTCTTCAGACTTGTTCTCTTATGTGGGAGGAAAACTCCATGTTTTCACTTTAGTCTTGACAACAACAGCTATATGGCTTCTTCCCTTCTGAAAATCAATTAATATATCATATAGAGGCATGTCTGCTGGGACCCTGACAAAATTTTAGGCATAAGAAAATTATTTGATAATTATCATAAAAAAGAAAAAAAAAGGTAAATTTGAGAAACCTAGGAATTCTTCTTATGGAAACAACACTAACTGGCGTCTCTGCCTCAGCACGAATAGTGAGAAGACTTCTCACATGCAGAAGGAACTTACCAAGTTAAAGAAGCCCAAAAAATGTACCACATGCATATCTTCTGCTGAACAAAACAAGAAAGAGAAGTATAAGAAGCAGACGATCGACACCAACCAGTAGAAAGCCAATAATGTTCCTTGGGTTTCCTGAATAAACAGGGATTCTGCTGTGGCCTCGGGTTAGAATTTTGCTAAAGGATTCCTGTAAAAAAAATAATAAAAAATGTCTTGGGGTCTAGAATTTGCTAATGCAAATCTACAGTGAAGAAAAATCATACACACATTTAAATTCTTAAATAACAAACTTTTAATTTAAAGAATCTCACTATTGGGATGAAAACTAACAACACAAAGAAAATTGTTTAAATGATAATTTAATAGTTATTTACTAGAAATACTGCATAGAAATTCAGGCTTAAAAATTCATTCAATCAATTGAAATATATACTGTAATAAAAAAATGTATATTACATTGAATCTGATGAAATATTAATCACATATAGAAGTTTAAATCGATATTTAGAGCACATAAATAAATTAAATAAAAATAGATTACCAAATCAAGTTTCATGCTAGTACGAGACATCTCACTAAAATATCAAGCTCCAAAAGGATAAAAAATAACCATAATTTACATAAACAATCAATATATTATGAAACTTTATTTTATGAAACTTCGAATTTTAAATATTTCCAACAAGATACGAAATGCAAAAGTTCGACCATCATAATATAGGACTTCAACATCAAACTACTCTTACAAAACACTGAATAAGTAGAGATATTGCACAAGATTCGCCTCACCAATCCAATTTGGAATTGACATCTAATGAGAATGTTGATTCAATTGGTGTCATTGCTTCCTCAGCAGTCTGTGCATTAGAAAAGAAATCTTTAAGAAAGATATTCATAAGAGAGGATATAAAATAACAAAAAACATCAATTGACAGAAGCACTAATAAATGAATACAAATATGAGACAAATTTTATGCTACAAAGAAATCTCAGGCAGAATTGACACTATAGAGTTTATTTATGAACTATTAAAAGTGGATGTCCAAAGAGTGTAAAAATGTACAAATTAATTAGCGTCAACAATACAGTTCATCGACAAAACTAATTTACAGATAAGATTTCATAAAAAGTAAAAAAATTCATTAACCACTACTTCAAATATGGAAAAAGAGATTCTTAATTTTTTTATTAGTTTTTGTCTTATCATTTAAAAAAATTGTTATAACACACATTCTCTGTCATATCAAAAGCACCACTTATTATTGTTGTTTCAACATGGGTGAGATCCCCACCATTACCAGCCTGAAATTTTAGCACCACAAGAGAACACAATATCAGTGATCACATATGTTGATAAAATTAGTAATTATAACAAATAACTTTTTAAAGGGACAATAGTCTTAAGTTTTTTTTTTATTTTGTGAAATTAATGTACCTCTTTGCTATGAATAGAAATGAATGCCTTAAATTGAGCACGCCTAAAAAGTGACAAATCAGCATGTCCAAGCGCACAATCCAAAATCTGGCACGATGTTAACAAGTTAAAGATGAGCTTGCTCAAGCCTTGCTTAATAGAATTATGTAAAAATGTTTCTAAAAAGCAATGTGAAAAACAGAACAAAACATGTTTCTAAAACAAGAAATCTACATTGGCAGTGTTGTGTCTAATAAGAAAAACTAGTCAAGTACAAAAAAAAATAAAAAAAATAAAAAAAAACCTAAAAGGATCATGCAAGGCCTAAACTATGATTTTTACATGCATGCCACACAATCTCATGTACTGACATATCTAACACCTAAACTATGACTTTTACATTTATGCCACCCAAAACTTTCATATCAAAACTTTCATATCACCAAAACTTTCATATCACATAAAAAATACCAAAATTAAAACTCTTAAAAAGTGAAATACACCATTTTCTTGAAATGATAAGGTGACATATATGTAAAAATTGAGGTTAAGTTGTTAGATATGTAAATACATAAATATTGACTGGTATTCTTGTAAATCTTCCATGATTCAAATACGATAAGCTACGGGGTAGCAAATGATCATTAAGATTCACACAAGTCATACAAATTTTGCACCCACGACCAAGCCATATCTTGTACATATGGCTTGTAGAATAACCTGCAAATAGAAATATAAACAAACAATAATGTCTAGGCTAATAAACGCATGCTAAGAAATTCCAAGCTTTGAAAAACTGCAATATAAAAGGGGAACAACATACCTCTCCAAAAAACAGAACGAATGTTACCGACAAGATAACTGCGGCAACTGGATTAAAGATTTTATCAAGAGATAAAGGAAGGGCCTGTATTCGCATGTAATTTGAGAAACATAATGTCAATATGAAATTATTGATGACAAAAACTTTGAGTAAATGAGATTGAATAAAAAAGAATAATTCATAAAAAACGGACTTTATAGGTGGGACAAAGGTGATTATGATGAAAATGTTAGTTCAATAAGTCAATGAAGAAAAGCTGGATCAATTTTGAGAGAATCCATAATAAAGATATTGAAAGAATGTTTGAGAGGGGAGTAGCTATAAAGACTCAATGAAAACATTATGAATAGTTACAAGTTTCATTTACTAGACTTCTAAATTAGTTTGTATACAAAACACATTAATAAAACGGGCAGAAAAAAGCGTTTTCAGCTGATTAGAATCAAAAGGTTAACCAAAGGTATTTTATAAAGAAATCTTAAAGAAAATATTTGTACTAAACATGTATCATATATCTTGTAACACTTACAAACAACAAATGGACAATGGGGATTCATTAAAAACCAACATAAATAACTGGAATAATGCAAATGATGATGATAAGTCTAAGGCGGATAAAAACATGTAGTCATTTTTCAATTTACTTACCTAAAAAAAATCCACAATAACTAACAATAAGCTTACTATATTGCCTAATCCCTGATTTTTCATCACCATCCGTGCTATGATTCAAGATTCATTAATGTCATCTTTTCAATCGTTATTCACAATTCACTATTTTTCATGTGTTTTTCAGCTCATAACTCTAGAAGTGTTATAATGATAACCTACCTAAAAATAGATTGTTCATCAAATGCTTAATCAAATTCTACATGATTCACACTCATCCTTGATTCTTCATTGCAATCTCATTCGTATATTTCAAAACTAGGTCCATCTTTTCACTATTTATTCACTTTCCTTCAATGTCCTTTTCAGCACCTAACTCAAGAGTTATGATGATAGTCAGCCTAAGAACAGATTTTTCAACAAATGATACCTAATCCCAGTTTGGCTTGCAATAATAATGCCTAAACTTCAGATTTTACATTGAGGTAGAAAATCTATTACTTACCCAAGCACAACCAGATGAATCTTTGATGTCATGCCTAGCAAAATTCATCTCTCTAAACTATAATGACATGAATGAGACAATCTATAGGCACCATAGAAGAAAAAAAAATTTTTTTTTTTAAATATAATTAGGAAGTTTTACATCCATACCACTCAATTCCTAATTTATTTACAAATCTAACTCCTAAAACTCAACTTTTACATATATGTCATCTTACCTCTGTATAAAAAGGTTCATCTTACCTCTGCATAAAAAGGTGTATTTCATCTTTTAAAAGTTAAAATAGTGGTATTCTTTATGTGATATGAAAGATTTGGGCCTCTTAATGCAGAAAAGTAAAGTTTGGGAATTGGGTGTTATCTATGTAAGTGATCCTTATAATTATTCACAAACTTAATACTTTTAGGATTTAGAATACATATCAAACAAACAGATTACAATGAAATCATAAGCTTCAGAAAGAAATAAACAGTTAAAACTGCATATAATATATCATCATCAAAAAATTTTCATGAAAGACAAAATAATGCTAAATATAAATTATTGCATAGAAAATATATTCCTTCCTGCTGTGCAATTAGTGCAATATCTGACTACATGCCTAGCAAAATACATCTCAATAAAAATAATGAACAACCTAAAAGTATCACATACAAGTAAAAGAAAAACAAATTTCACGTATATGATTATTCACCAACTTAATAAACAGTTCCGCCAAGCTAAGAACATGCAGATGCATACCTCCATGGCAGCAGCATTACACAGTAGCAGAGTCACCAGGACATGGTGTTTTTTTCTTAACAACAGGGAGAATGGTGGCTGCAACAAT